GCACTTCCTATAATTTCACTTACTGTCGAATCGTCAGATCTGAAATTTCTCCTTTTTGTGATGTGAGATTTTTTTTTCGGTAAAAATTAAACAAATAAAATATGAATGGTCAATTTCGAAAAATGACACTATACAACATAAGCTATTAGCTTATTTCGAAGGATAATAGTTTAATCTCATTTCATGCAACAATATATTATTATGTACACTTTAAATTTTTTGTGTCCATACAAACAAGTTGGCTATATAGTTGTAAGATATACAGGAATAACTAATAAAAGTTCGTAATCTGCATAAGGATTTTCTTTATAATGTAAAATCCTTGGATCTAGCGAAAAAAAATAACCTGACAATAAAATTCATTGTAACAGTTCTGTCAACTGAGTCCAGTACAAGCCGTGCTTTTGCCAAAACTTCGTATCCACCGCGAAATACGCCAGATAAAAGAAGTAAATGTGCACTTTTACCTTCCGTCACGCGATCAGATCGTTCACATGGCCCTAATCCTACACATTTGATCAGTTCTCCTACCGCATCTATAATATAATTATTTAAACTGTTATCTAGCATCTTACCTATTTTTTTAGACAATACTTATTTTTTATACTGTTTAACATAAGATTAAATACTCTTCAAACATGCTAATGAATAGGGAATAGATAAATGTCAACATAAGGATAAAACAATAAAGATTAAAGATTCAATGAAAACAGCGATACTGATGATGACTAACATTTATATACTATTACCAGATTAACAATCTCCAAAATTTCTGACCTCAAACCTTTCTTTAAATATATCAAAAAATTAGGAAAATATTAAATACTAGGATTATCCAATCTTTTATCGTAAAACTAGGAAAATTTTGTAAAACTTGTACATCAACAACCCAGTGGAAGCTCATCAAATGTCGAAATGTCACGCAAAATAAAAGATTGTTCGAATTCGAGATCTGAATAATGTAACAGGCTTCTACTTCAAAACCTCAGCATGCACATCATATATATATATATATAGCAACTGCAATTCCTAAATCTTGCATACGTAAGATTTAGAGATTTAATATAAGTTCCTCCATTAAACTACAACTAAAATGATGAAAAGACCTTGCAGCGTATGTACTGTTGATAAAGAATACGTATCTTCATTTTCATTCTCATCACCAATTTGTTCCCAACTGACAGCAAAGTTGCTTCGCTTCGCTGGTTGCACATAGTCCGCAAAAATTATTTCAATTTCTTCCAGCTACAGAGAAAAAATTATAATATTTCACAACCTTCCATCAAAACTAAGGATTCATTTATAAAAATAAGCTCTCCAAAAGAGAACAAGCCTAAAAGACTGTTTTGTCACTTCCAAAACATTTCTCAGCGCCAATTATCAAACGCCCATAAATGAGTGATTAAGATAACAACCACTACTCAGATTATATTATCACCTTATCAAAAATCTTCACCATTAAAACTTCTTGGCTTAGTCAACGTACCGAAAACTACGTTTCAGCATTAATCGATAACACTATTCACCGTTAATCCATCAAAAGTAATTCAAAACTAATTTTTTACATTTAACGACACCTACGTTATACAGCCTCAAATTACTATCTGATAATGATCTGGAACCCGTTCCATGAACTACCAAAACTCTTTCAATTCTTAACAATGAAGCAACATACCACAAAAACGTCATTGTAACTCTCGTCGCTCTCCAATTCGCCTGTTGCAGGATCAATATCGCGAACTTTAAATTTCAAACTTGCACTGAATGTTGCCGTAACAACATCAGGTGCTGAAGGTATTTTCAGCAGTATAAATGTGGTTGACTGTATACCAAACGGTAATTTTTCTAGTGGTATCGTATGTAAAACCGTCCATCCTTCCGTATCTGGTGCTTGCTCCAATTCAACATAAACATTCTCCAGCAACTGATCATTCAATGTATTGTTACAATCGAACTGAAATTCGACTGTAGATATCGATACAGTTTACGACAAAGATATTTCTTAGGCAAGAGTTCATAAATCAAGCAACTGTTATTAAATTTCACCTGTAAGACGATATGTTGCGGGAAAATATGCTTAACACATAAGACGCTGTATTCAGTCACTTCATCTGTTAATGCTATTGGTTGTGAAGATTTAAACAATGGACCCAAGTTGGCAAACTCCGGAATAGCTGCTAATTGTTCTGCAATATCAAAATTTGCGATGAATAATAGTACTTGTTCGTTGTTAATTATTTACTCCTAACTCATTATCTAAAATTGTATGATTCCGATGAAATATTAAATCCTTTTATTTGAGAAAGATTTTCAAACCAAACACACGAGTATTTCAGTAACCTGCATAAATCTCTTGCCGAGATGCTTTTTTTTCTTCTCCTTTGTCTGAAATTGTCTCGACAGACAGTGAAGGTTTCTTGACTTCCGTTACAGATAGTGGAAGAGCCGAAATTGATACCACTTTCAAATCAAACGGTTTATCATACTCTCCATTGGTCACATACTGCTCCAATGCTCTTTCAAGTCCAAGAACTGATACCTTAAAAATACACTGCGAGTGATATAATGTAAAACAGGTATGCATCCTAAATTGGACACTCGACTTTCTGCAACTATGAAAACCAAATTATTTTTTCTACAAAACTTTTTAGTTTTTAAAAGAACAGTATAAACATTTTAAAAATGTAAGACAGTATCCTATTTCAAAAAAAACGGTACTAACCTGCAATCCATTCAGAATATAATTTGCAATTAAATGCGGATTATCCGTTTCTAAAATTGACAGAAAGTATGTTGCTCGATCACGTACCTCATCATTCCTGTCAAGCAAACAACGTTTCAACAATAATAGTATAGATGGTCTCAAATCCGGACACTGAGCTCCAAATTTGGCTAGAGCACTTACTGCTGCAGCGCGAACCTTAAGAATTAAATGCATTATCACTGGTTAGTTCAATCCCTACAAATCATTTTTTTTTCTTTTCTCTCGTTAAACAATTTCTTGAGTATCACTCCATCGTGAGTTTTATAGATCTTATACTCTAACAATTACTTCTTGGTACTGCACTAGTATTAGCGGAAACATTTTAATGCCTCGGAAAGCAAGACTTTAATTAATTACAAAATAACGTAAAATCTATTCTAGTAATATTAAAACTCGTTAAAAAACTCATATTAGATCATTTTATCTTAAATTTTGCAACAATAATGGGACTAGACGCACTTGAGTAGCTTCTAAAATAACTCGGTTGTAGATGAAACGAATATAACGTGAAGGACTGGCAGTTGTTGGTGCTTCACGACCAAGCAAATGTAATATACGGGTAGCAAGTACAGGGTGCTCACAGTCTTCAATAAATTCGCACAAATGCGACAATCCTGAAATTT